ATATATATATATATATATATATATATATATATATATATATATACGCACACACACATATATATATAGATAGAGAGAGAGAGATTTGTGATGATGATCAGAAATCTTACTCTGAGTTCTCGAACTTCGGTGACTAGAGTTCGAAGCTGAAGCTTGAATTTGGACAGTCGAAGCAACTCCATTTTCTCACCAGAGTTTTCCATGTCTCGAATGCTCCAGAAGTTTGCCAATGGCTCTCTCTTGGCTTTAATGCTCCAGAAGTTTCCACGTTCTCTGTTTTTCAAATTTTGTCCGCCACGAAAGTTTTCTTTCCCTCATTGCCGGCGAATTTTGGGTGATGTTTGTTTAGCATTTCCTTTCCCGCCATAAATTTAAAATTATTAGAAAGAATCTGTGAACGGAGATGGATAAAAACTTAAAAATGGTTATTGGCAGCATTTTTTCTCTCTTTTTTATTTTTCTCTCTTTTTATTTAAGTAAATTATAAATCTTACCTTTTCAGGTGCATTGTTACCTTTTTATGTACACTACCCCTCACTAGCCAGATATATTTTTATAACAAATTAAAAAGATTTAAGTCTCATTTATTTTACTGAGTTGAGTTTAAAATTTGAGTTTTACTATAATAAAAACTCTCAGAAACAGTCACATCTATTTTTATTTTTTTTTGCTACAGTAAAAAACTATCACATAAAGTCACATATCAATTCGAATTAAAAATCTGAATCAACGAACTAAACGGGTCTTAAAATACCCAGAGTTATATCCAAAACATAATTTGTTATCTCTTTTTCTTTTCTCTCTCTTCCCTGTCAGCGGTTATCAGTCATAATTTGTGTCAGCAATCGATGCCAGAGTTAGAGACAACCTTTCACTTTTTGTTAAAAATAGAAAAATAATCTAGTAGATTTTGAAGCATAATTTAACAAATTATGACTGACGAACGATGCCCAAGCCGAAAACAACATCTTATTTTTTATTGGAAGTAGGAAAATAAGTTGGCAAATTACGAATCATAATTGGCAAATTACGGCTAGTGCTGACAACCGACAACCAACGCCCAATAATTGAAAACTGACGGCCGACTACCGGCATCAATGACCGGAGATTGCTTTCTGGTGTCATCTAGTAATTCATATATTAGACTTTGACTAATTTAGTTTAAAAGGATAGAAATCTCTTGGCTAATATTTATGGGCTAAACATTTATGTCCCGTTTATTTTACTGATTTGAATTTTATTGCAGTAAAAAACTCAATTATATCTAATTTTTTTATTACAGTAAAAAATTCTCATATAAAATCACATCTCATCTTAAATTAAAAACTAAAATTAATAAATAGAACAGACTTTTAAATAACTCTATTTAATAGGTATTTGTCTTTTTTAGGAGGCGTTTAGTTAGAAAATTCAAACCATAATTTAAATCATAATTTATAATTCACTATAATATTTTTTTTATAAAAAATATAAATAAATTAAAAATAATTCTAATCACGTATTCTAATTCAGGAATATCTCCTTAGTCTTTTTAATTTTTAGAAAGTATCGGAATGGACAGAAGGCATTAACCAGGCCCGTACCCAGTCAGATTGTTTGTGCCTCGTGCTTCTTAGCCCTCCCACCCCAAAAGCTGAAAAACATGGGAAACTCTTTTCATTCCGAGTCCGACATCAAGCTGGCAGGGTGGGGCCCACCCTGTGAGTAATGGGATTAAGTCCATGCTGGGATGAATAGTACTATTTAAAAACACACACTAACATTAGCGTAAACTTGTGCCTTCTACTTACAATCTTGATTAAACACTTTTAACGATAACGTGATAAAAACACTTTGTCAAATACAGGTGTTTGGTTTATATATTTAGAATTATAATTTAAATTTTTTTTTTTTAAATATTATAGAAAATCATGAATCATGATTCAAAATTATAGATGAATATAAGAAACAAACGTCTCCTAAAATCTGTAAAGTAAATAAGTAATTGAACACTATACATCAAGAGTACTGGTCAATGGCACTCAGATGCTTGTTAACAAATTTGTAGATAGAATTTGATAGAGTTGCAGTATTTTATGAAATATGTACCTTGACCCCTCTAATGAGAGGAATTTATAGACCACCGCGACTACGAGTCATTAGAAGGATTTATAGACCACTAAAGATGACTCATGGCCTCTGTTTGGTTTACTAATTTAAATTTTATTAGTTTGTAATTTTTTAATTTGAATATAAAATTTTAAACTGTATGATTTAAATTATAATTTGAATTGACATTTAGATGTATAGTTAAAATTTTAATTTAAATAGAAAATAAAATTTAAATTTGTATTTGATAGGTGTGAAAAGTAAATAAAGTGGACACTTTTTTACTGTTTAAAAATGGTTTAAACGGTTGAACTTGAGGATGGGCTAAACTTTAAATTGAGTCGTTTAACTCAATTCAAACGGAAACTATAATTCAAACTGCATGCTTACTAAACGTCAGTTCAAATTGAATTAAACTGAACTAAATTAGTAAAATAAATAGGGGCATAATAATTTTTGAGTTTACCTCCACATAAATAAAGGATTTATTTTCTTTATTGATGTAGGTTGAATTTGTTCTCTTTTTAACGGATGAACAGTTCAATGTGTTAGTTTCATACAATGATTGCCGATGCTAAATTGATGTGCAAAAGTTAATAATAAACTTGGCGATTGGATGATGGCCGAGTTGGAGCTCAGGCGTCAGGTGCCTAGGCGTGTTTCACCAGAGTGGCCATTTGAGATTTTCTCTCAAGACTATCATCACATTTTTTATCATTCTCTTTGTTCATTGTTTGATACATAGGCTGCAGTAATATAATATATAATATATTATTATTTAAATAAAAAATGAGATAATTGAATTCATGTGTCAAATAATAAATGAAAAAAATAATAATAAAGAGTTAAAAAAAAGTAACGTTATCATTTCTCTTTCTGTAAATTGTGATTGCAATGGTTGATCATGGCCTTGGGCTTCTCTTTCTTTTGCATAGCATGTGCTCCTGTGAATTGGTCACGTATAGTCAAGGTCATGACGATTTTATTGGTTATTTTAGTATGACAAAAATACTCTCCAACAAATACATTATAATTTATACATTAACATAAGCATTAAAAAAAAGGAAAACAAAAGAAAAGAAAAATAGATGCTTGCAAAATTTTTACATAATGCAATAACATATGCATTACATATATGTTGTTAAGAGCTGCTTAATAATTTTCCCTATCCCCATCAAGATAATTACATTTCTCTCTAACGGATTCAATACCACGTTATTTTATACGAAAAAGATTAACAAAAAATTTTACTCTAACAAGTTCGTGATGTTATCTAATTACATTTTGGGGATCTAGCATGCCATTATTGCCATTAACAAGATCAATACCTAAGCAATGATTGACACCCTTTTCTCCTCACACAAAGTGAAACATGGTTTTCCCACGTTATTTGTTTTGTACAATGTAACAAATCATAAAAGTTTTTTCTCCACAAAGTTTTAAACAACCGTCTATATCATACAACAACACATTTTGTTCTAACACGTGAACGCGTCCTAGAAGACCCGAATTCTAAAAATTCTGTTGAAGCCCCACTAATAGAAAGTCTTTTCATATTCAACAAGTTATTTCAGAATTTAAGAAATGCCATTGAAAGCGTGACATTGCCATTGACCTTTTCATGAGTTTGCCAAAGTTGAAAACTGATGGGAATGGAATATATATACATACATATATATATATATATATGTATATAAATATATATACATTTTAAAATTTGCATATTCAAAATGGTGTCCAGCAGGTTATGGAAAACATGTTTGAGAAGTTAAATCAAAGTTTCAATCGTCTAGTCACTTGTGTTCCCCATCTAATTTATACTATGAGGCTGTCAAGAGCTCTATCTGCCTTACAGCTTTGATTTCAACGAAGCCATAATTGAACAAATTTTAGGCACTTCAGAACTGATCATGAAATATCACGAAGAGAGAAAATCCCATTTCTTTCAAATTATTAGTTATCAAAAGGGTCCACATACCAGCAATGTGCCCCCATGGAAGTCAAGAAAGTGGACAGTTTTTGCTTTTCATTAAGCTAAAATTTGCTGTCAAATCTGAAATATTTGGCTCAAGTTTCATAGCTTTTGACGTCGCAGCTTATTGGTAGACTCCTGTTATACCTACTGCATGCCTCCACATGGAATACCAATAAGAGCACGACCCTTTTAACTCTTTTGAGAGAAGCAAAGTCTATTTATTCGGTAATATATCAAAGTTCGTCCTAATTTCTCCTCTTTTGTTCAATGATTATGAGGGTTTTCTGGCTAAAGATGGGTTTTGTTGGTCTTGTGAGGAGAACTTGCAATAATAATAATAATAATAATAACAATAATAAATAAAAACCTACTAACTTTATTATTATGAAAAGTATATTAGGAAAAGTATCTTTATTAATAGTTTTGACTTTATAGGTTTTTATTTTCATATTAGAAGAAAGTTTCTTAATTTTTAATTTTAGCTAACTTATCCAATTATATGCTTTCTACTATGTATTTATATGGAGTTCATTCGGTTGTGCTCTTTACTAGTGAATTCTCTATTTATTTTTCTAGTCCGTAAATGTAGGCACATTGCCAAACTACGTTAATTATTATTTATATTATGACTTACCTATCTAGTTATCAAAATATATTTCCCTCTATGTTATTATACTGATCAACAATTAGAAAATGATAATCGTAAATGCCTTATGCATAGTCTGAAATCGAACTAGTCATATTAGAATGTATAGATAACAAATAATAATGATATTATCACTTATTCATCAAGTTATCAAAATAAAACGATAACTACTATCTTAAGCAGAATTTGAAATGTTGGGACTAAATCTAGAGATAACAAATATTGATAAGACTCTTATCTTGAGCATATTTTAATACTAGGTTGCCTGAATAGATTTTTCTCTTGTAAAATGTTGCACAAGAGCTGGTGTCTTTTTGTTATGTTTATTTCTTTTTTTAAGCTCAATTCATTTTACCGATTCGAGTTTAAAATTTAAATTTTATTACAGTAAAAAATTATAAAAAATAATCACATTTAATTTTTTTTACTATATTAAAAATTTTCAGATAAAATCACATATCAATTCGAATTAA